TGTTGGTTAAAAAAGCTTGAAAATTAAATAGAGGGCTATTAGTATATTGTTTCAAAGGCAAATGAAAAATATTAAAAATCCTTAGTCACAATTTTTTTTTATAAGCATTTAAAATTCAAAAATTGACAAAATATGGAAAAATCACGAAAATTAGCAAATTATTTTGAGTTAAGAATTCGTAAACATTTTTTTTTTAAATCTAAGATTTGAAAATGTAATACAAGATTCCTTATAAGATTATCTACCTTTATCAAAAAAAAAATGTCTATAAGAAAGTCAAATTTAATTTTTATGAGTGTTCGAAATTCGTAATATTTAAGTATAAACGAACAATTTCAAAATGTTTTAACTTAATGGATTTTTTTAAATCAACTGAGAAAAGCTAAGTTATTTCAATTGTAAATTAAACTATTTAAGTTCATAAGATGATTAGAAAATAAACTAACTAGTTAAGTTAAAAAGTTAAAAAAAAATTAACTTTTTAACTGAACTTTAACTTTTCAACTAGTTAATGCCCACCTTTGGATAAGTATATAGTATGTCTTATACCTAGGACATACCGTCTTCGCTCAGAATCATTTTTCTTATACAATGATATACCTAATATCATTGAATTCAAAAGTAATACCATCCATTATACAGTGACACACGTGTAACCTACTGTACAGCAGAGAACCTTTTTTTATCTAAGATTTAAAAATTTAACTCAAAATTTCTCATAAGTTTATTTGCCTTTATCAAAAAAAATAAATTCCACCTGAAAGTCAAATTATATTTGTATTAACGTTTTAAGTTATTAAAGATATTATAATATATATAAAGATATCCACTCGATTTCTCATGTAGCGATTTCCTTATTATTCTATGATTCAAAAATGAATAATTGTAGATACTTGAAATTTACACCATATGTTTATTTTATCAGTTCCTATACTTGATCAAATATTTCAAAATATTTTTACCCGTTTTGAGTTGCTTACGGATATTTTTAATTTTCAATTTTTTTCTAGAAATGTCAATAAAATTTTATTTGTTGTGTCAAAAAACCAAGTGAAAATTTAATACAAGGCGCCTGCTATGTTTCTACAATAGCAGTTGAGTAATATTAAAAATACAAAGGCACACATTTTTTTATAAGCATTTAAAGTTAAATTTTGACAAACTTGATCAAATTTAAAAAAAATTTTATGTTTTAAAATGTTTAAAATGTTCAACTTTTATAGCTAAGGATTGAACATTCAAAACAAGGTTCCACTTAAATAAGTAAATAAATGACTTTATTCACAATAATATCATCAATTAATAAACTTGGTAATACCTACACCTATCATAGGTTAACCGACAGTCTTCTTACAGAACCGTTGTTCGTATACAAATTAATACAATGATAATATTAGGTATATCATTGAACTCAAATTTAACACCATCCTTTACAGTGACCCACTTGTAACCTACTGTACAGCAGAGCGACACCCACGTGTCTACATTTTTACTGTTTTAGTATTAATTTAATAAAACAAGATGCAAAACAATTATCCCTTCACTTTGGTTATTAGTAATGATAACAATTATCAAATAACAAATTAAAGAATGTGAAATTAGGCAAATCAATAGCCAATTATTTATAGTCATATTTCCTTACTAAAAAGTTAGACAAAATACATACCTAGTCATCTAGATACTCGAATATTCGATAGTTGGGATAACACATCTTTGCAAGGTTGTAGTGTTTAACTTTTAAATAAATTATATTTAATCATTGAAATTTGAATTTGGAAAAGTAGATGAGGTCGATTATTAAAAGGACTAAAGTATGGTTTGGTTTAGAAATTGGCTTTTCAAGGGGTTTTGTATAGGCAATTTTAATGTACTTAATGTTGAAAAAAATTAAGTTAAAAAAAAGTGGATAAGTGGATGTACTGCTGTACAGTAGGTTACAATTGGTTCAATGTATGAAGGATTGTATTAAACTTGAATTCAATGATATAATATCATTGTAAAAGAAAAACGATTCTGAGAGGAGACGGTTTGTCAGTCTGGATATTGTTATTATTTATTATATACTGGAAGTTGAATTTATATTATAATAGGCAGTGGCGTACATACGGGGGGGGTTTTCGGGTTCAAACCCCCCCCCAGGACCAAAAAAAAATAAAAAAATAATGTGATATTATTGATGAATTTCTTATTATTAATCAACCGTGTATACACAAATATACGTCATTATAATATGACTATTGAGCAAACAGTAAACATTATACCAAACCAACAACGAAAAAAGATTTCATAACGAAATTATGGGTGCCGTATAATATGGTATACCAATCAAAATAGACATTATTTTGATCGTACACAGTCAGTTAGTTGCGTGCGGATATAAATACATATTAATATTGTCTTTATCTCGACCGACTCATTATAAACACACAAGACTTTGAGTTTTTTTTTTTTTTAACTCAGTTAAGTTATTATGCATACACATATAGATATAGTATATATTGTATTTTTAAGTACAGAAGTTACCTATCACATAAGTAATAAGTAATAAATAATAATAAATAAGTATTATATATTTTAGTTGTCTTTCAAACAGATATTATTTGTGTACATCATAATACGATGAGTATTGAGTAGGTATTTTTAATTTTAATGTTTAACTATCAACGTGAATACTGTTAATAATAATTTTTAATAATAATTAATAATCTCACAAAACCGTAAACCATAAAATCAATAGGTAATTGATTTATTTTTTTTTGTTTATTTTTAGATTTTAGTGTCGGCACTCGGCAAACTATATCACAATATTATGTCTATATTATTGAAATTTTGACATGGCAACAAAATAGACTCAAATAATGAAATGTAAAAAAATGAAAAACAAAATAAATTAACTTACAAATAAAAAAATGAATTCGTTAATTTAACGTTGATTAAAAAATAAATTTAGTAAATTAGTAGTTAAGTTAAAAATTATTATTATCACAGCATAATCATTATCATTCGATTTCGATATATTTTAGGTTTTGAAGGTAAAATAAATAGTAATCATGGCTGAAAAAAATCAATCGAAACTGCAATCTTTTTTTTCTAAACCACCCTCAATAATGAATTCATTGTCAAATTCATTAAATGCAACTCAAACAGTTATAAGTTCCTCTAGTTCCTCATTACCATCAACTGCATCTGCTTCTGATACACCTATCACGCAGTTTACACCTTCGACTACAGATATTAATCGTACATCTTCCAGTTATAATATTTTTGACATTGCACATTACACAAATAAATTGTTAACGCCAAGTGAAATAGAAGAAATTTTGAGCAAAATTTGGGTCCCTGATATTAATTACAATTTTCTTATCAAAATATCAGTAGTCGGTAAACAACAAAAAGTTTTGAGGTTGAAATTTCAATATAAATGGCTAATTAACTTTCCCTGGTTGGCCTATTCAGAAGTAAACAATGGTGCGTATTGCAAATATTGTGTTGCTTTTACTAAAAATGAAGCCGGTGTTAATAACCAAAAATTGGGAGCATTTGTATTAAAAAAATATGATGATTGGAAACATGCATTGGAAGACTTTAAAAATCATTCGAATTTAGAATATAACAATCAATAGAATTTTTATTATAAATAATTAATAATATAATATTTATAATATTCTGTACTTACTATGTGCATATTAAATAATATTTAACTGCCATGAGTTACGTAAACCTTTGTATTTGTTTTACTATTTTGCCTATTAATATTTATACGTGTAATGTGTTTGATTGTTAGGAAAATGGGTAGTTGCAAAGAGAAAGTTATAGTGCTGGTTATTTTTTTTAAACCTCCCCCAGAGCAAATTTGAATGTACGCCACTGATAATAGGTATTATTATTTTTTATTCGTTTCTATGGTGATAAACAAAGCGTTAGAAATTAAAATCCCATTTTTAGCGGTTTTTCGTAAATTGTCTGTGGTTTTCCTGTGCAATTAAATAAATATTGAGAAAATCGAAAAATGATCTTTCTAAAGTACCATCTTCATCCAATTTGCTCAAAGATAAGGTATGATATGTTGAAAACAAAGCACTCTTTCTGGTAGATATTTTGTATACAGGATATATATAAAAAAAAAATAATAAACACCATTAAAATACATTCAATCACTAATATGAATAGTAATTAGTAGCTCACAATAATACTCTTAATGTTGGCTATTTTAATTATACCTAAAATACTATAGAAAAACGGTTTCGTGCAGGAAAGAATCGTGATACAAACAGTTATATGCCTAACCAAGTTATCATAGTTAATTAGATGCAAATCAAACTTCTTCCATAAAACTATGAATATGTAATTTTGCTTAATTTTTTCAAATTTCAATATAACTTAAAAAAATAAAGTTATCTTTAACTTGATGAATTTCAAATTTGAATAGCATTTTTCGTTCAAGGCTAATATACTCTTCAATAATATAGGTTATAAGATATAGATCAGGTAAAATGTCCTTAAGTTAATATGAAAAATATTATGAGGAGTACGTTTAAAATTAAAATAATATTCTTAGATGATAATAATATTTGGTATTAAAAAATCTTCAAGAAATACAAAAATATATATATTTATTTATATTTTGTGGCTTAATAAATATTTATGTGACATAAAAATGATTGAAATAATTATTTTATAGACGTTTTTATGGATATATAATAAGGATTAGATTATACATTTTACTATCACAATATATTATAAAAAATATTTTTATCTAGTCTCTCCACAAAAATTATATAAATTAACAGTTCAATAATTATCATATTAAACACTTATCAATGAATAATTATAATTAACAATATTAAAACTTAAGATTATATGAAAAATAATATAACAGTCGTATAATTAATTAAAAAGGAAAAAATATATATACACATTTATTTTGGTCTTAGTTTAATAAAATAATAAATTCTAATTACATATTTTATTTAAATATTGCATGATTAATTGTTTGCACATTAGTCTGATTTAAATCCTGAGTTTTCATAATTATTTTTTTCTGATGTTTCGTATAATTTAGGAATTTTGATTGTATCATTCGTTAATTCAGAATTTTTCTGTACTATTTCAGATTTATTATTTTCTATTTCACGTGCCTCTCGTTCTTTATTTCCTTTATGCATCCACCTGAAATAAAGACAATTATTAGTTATTAATTAATAAGTTATGAAGTATTTATCTATAATTTGTAATTTGATATGACATAATCCAATAGTAAGATTTGAAAATATGTGAGTACCTATTTGTCATTGTCTTAAACTATAATTTGTCAGTTCTTTAAATAATTCCGTTTATAAAAAATGCTGTACAGTAGGACGTGTCAAGTAGATTACTGTAATAGATGGGTTAAAGTTGAATTCAATGATAAATCATTGCATACGAAAAAGATTCTGAACAAAGACGGTCTATCGCCTATGTTACTAAGTAAGTAAGTAGGTAAATTCTATGATATAGAAGCTATTAAAGTAATTTATTTATTACAATATTACCAATACAGTAGGTTAAATTAACTTTTGCCAAAAACATTGCATTTGAAAATGTCATTGTGGGTTTAAAATATAATTGTATACTTTATAAAGTTCGTGTACCCACGAATAATATTTTTAATTTACAACAAAATAAATAAATTCATTATACTTTGTTTAACTATATATCCAATTTAGTCCAAATTCGGACTTAACTTGAATATTTATGAAAAACTTGTCCATATATAATATGTTTTAGATTTGTTGGTTTCAATATTAACTATTAACAAGCAAACATTTTCAAGCCTTAGCCATAAAAACCATAAATTTAACATTTTAATATTTTATGCATTTTAAATTACAAAATAATTTGCAAATGATCGTGATTTTGACAAATTTGGACAACATTTTTTAAGTTGAATTTGTGCCTATGTACCTATCTTCACTATTTTTGAACTTCTATTACCACAACCTATGAAGAACATTGTAGGTATTACATTTTCAAGTTTTTTGATCGCGCCTACATTTTCTCATGGCTATATAAATAGATCAAAAACAGTAAAAATATTTTGAAAGTATTTATTGCCTGGAAAATGGTTACATAAACATTTTATTAAAATGTCAAATATCTATGGTTATTCGGTTTTGATTTACTAAAAAAAAAAAATAAAACCGATTTTGACAAATACTTGTTTTGAGAAAAAATCCCCATTTTTTCTTAATTTGTTTTAGTCTTTCTCTACCTTTTTGAAAATTACTGAGAATTTTTTCCTTTTACAAGATTCGCTTTCTTACCAGAAAATATGTTAAAGTTGAAAATTTAAGCATTTTTACTGCCCTGAAAGTTCTGATAGGAAAAAACACACACATATAATTCAAAATTAATACATTTATCGCCCGGCTCAGAATCTATATAAGTAATAAGCTTCGATAGTGGAGTTATGGGGGTTGAACTCCCTCACAAACTTTTTGACGTAAATATTTTTTCTTATGTACCATTATAACTTTTCATCTGTAATTTATTTTAGCTATGGTTTATGAACCATCCTTGAATGTATTTTCATTGTAAACGCTTGATTTAACTACCTAGGTATATACTAAAGTATTATAATATTTTAAAAATAATTAGTGATGGGCAACAATATTAATTTAAAATTTGTATTTTCGATATTTTCTATACGATATCGATATGATGATATCGTACAACTTATGATATCGCATACAATATCGGAAATTCGGAACGATATCATTATATCAACACACACAATTGTATCGTTGCCCATCACTATAAATAATAGATTTCTTTAAAATCACGAATTATAATAGTACATTATTTTATAATTGTTGGCTTTAATACTTACAAAAATATAAAAACTGCTGGTATAGTTAATCCACCACCGAGGAGGAAGTAAGCTCCTGGGAAAGTTTTCATTGTTGCTTTATAAAATGCACTGTACATCGGTACATATATCATTGGAACAAAAGCCTCAAAAACTCCTACTACAGCACTTACTTGACCTAAACAATTAAATTGTTATCATAATTAGGTAAAATTATATTCCAATCGTTACAACAGTTTAAAAATTACCAAGTTCTTCTGGAGTGACAAGTTTAGTGAATATAGATCTAGTTGCAATGGAACCAGCGCCATGAATAATTTCCACAACTGGGCCTGAAAAAATTGAATTATTAAATGTATAAGTATTGAAATTTCTAAAAATCTGCTATTGTGAGTATAAATTATTTACTTACCCAAATAAAATATGTATGTATTGGGTGCAAACGCGAAAACAAAACTACCAATGACTTTACTGACACATGCCATTGCAGCGATCAATGCGTCATCCATTTTCAATTTGTGATTGAAAATCCATAACGAAATTGATGTTCCTAAAATAAACGTTGGATAATGTGTTTTATATTACATTTATTTTTTAAATTTATTTTTAACAATATTTGGTTACATACCAATAAAACCAGTGACCATGGTAAATGTAGAAAACATACTGTAATCAACTTCGTCCCAGTTAAATCGAATCCTGGTCGACAAGTACATAACTGACATTTCACCTAAAATGTGTGATTAAAAAATGATTGGTTTTAGATTGTTTTAAATACATATTGTGATTGTTTTAGTATTTTTAGATATGATAAAATGTATTATATATCTCAAATAGTGGAAGTGTAACATATATAAGTTTCCAAATAATTTACTAACCTGTCATAGGACCCATTATTATCATTAGAACTACCATCATCATCAAAATCCGGAGCCTTCTGTTATCATTACCTCTTTTGAAAGTTACTCTAAACGCATTTTTAATGTGTATTAAATCAAAAAATTCCTTAACGTTTGTTGAGAACGACGAATTTTTAACGAATTTAGAGTCTTCACAAACGGCCGGTGTATCATTATTTTTTATATCTTTAAGACAAAAAAATCCATAAAGTATACCCATGAAGTATAAAGTGGAACATATTGAATATATTCCATAAAAACCGAGCTTTTGGTACAGAATACCAGACAAGGCTATACCGAAAGATATCCCTATGGTTAATGATAGGTTCAGTACACCTATTCTAAGAGTTCTCATTTTCACCTGAAACCATAATTTCAGGGTAAGACGTGTAGGTAGTTATTTATTTTAAGTTCCAGAGGAGTATTGAAAAATATCAAAAACTGTATACCAACCGTGGTTACATCTGAAATGTACGTGAACACACCCATGAACATGATCATCCAACCACCCGTTAGTGACCCGGGCACGGATTCGACCAGACCTGCAATTTCCATTGGTAGTTCGTAAAAATAGAATACACAAACCAACAAGCCCAAGACCCGCACGAGCTCTCCAAAAATTGGCAACAACAGGACCGGTTTCCTCTTGCGGGTCCTGTCACTCCAGGATCCGACGAAAATCACAAATATACACGGTATGGTGTGCTGTATAACCGACTGCCACATTGTCATGTCGGTGACCAGCTCTTGGACTTTTGCCTCCTGGTCAATACTGTAATTGGTCTTATTCCGTTGTTCCAACGCAGTGCAAATGGCGTCGCTCATGTTTAAATTAACCCTACATGATTTCTGCAAGTTTAGGTTTTGTGTGGTGAGGTTGCCGAGCACACTTGATACGATGAAAAACGCGAGTAGTGGTTCCACCGTAATGTTGCTAATTACATATTTAACTTTTGAGCCTAAATTCAGTTTTTGCCATTTTTCGTGCTCTGCGTCCACTTCTTCCGCCATGTTGGTATCGTCGTTTATAGACTTTTTTGTGAGCTTCATTATTGTTTTGTTTCAATTTAGCTCATTTCCGAACGAACCTCATTTAATACCTTAAAAATAAAATCCATCATAGTATTACACAAAATATTTTATATTATTATCATACAGAAAAATTATCTTAAAAAATATATACTAAGGAATAGACGTTTTGAGTATAAATAAATTAGTAAAATTACTCAACAGATAGAGTTCCAAGTGAATTAAAAAATTACTATTTTAATTTGTTGGACTTGAAAATTAGATCTGCACATCCAACTCTATGTTGGACTTTAATAGAAATCGTTAATTTTAAAATCGTTGATGATAGTTACTTATACAATTGATTAAAGTTTTAAATGATAACTATGATTCAACTGAAGTTTTTAACACTAGCAGTTGTTATTTCTAATAAAGTATCAACAATATTGCATAACACCGTGAGTTGGAATTTATATTTATGATACTAATCGCTTGAGCAATTAAAATTTGAAAGCACTAACAAACTGTTAGCGTTTTATCAAATTTGTTAACTTATTGTTGTATTCAAATTTAAAACAATACACCACTTTTATCTCAGATTTGAGCAAAGAGTCTGTATTCTGCCCGAATTTCTAACTAAAAGTTGGATGAATAACTAAATACGTATTTATCACAAAAGTGAATATCAGCTATAATGTTCAAGGTTTTTATGAATTCTCGTAATTCTAAAAATAATCTATTACGTAAAAGCCGTTGCCACAATTAACAAACAATAGGTAATAATGGTTTATAATATATTTTAATTATCTAATAAAAAGGTACCTATTAGGTAGTAGGTACTACTCAATACTAATACTGTTTAAAATTATAATGAAGTAGATATCGTAGCTACTAATAATTAAACAAAAATATCGATTATGCAATTGAAAAAAATAACAGTACAAATAATAATAATAATAATAATAATAATAACAGTATGCAATTGTCTAAACTTTATTTTGCAAGTAAACATAATGATTAGGTACCTATATTATTATGAAGCATGGAGACATGCATTATACAATAACAATATGTATTGTAACTTAATATTTCGAGAGGAGCTTTGAATTTATTAGTCTAATATAGTTTTTAAAATATGGTATGCGTATATTTTAATTACATGCTATACGTTTCTTGAAACAATTATTATATTAGTAAAAAAACATATATGATGGTGTGTGTGTGTGTATTTTTTTAGTTTTGTCACGTACCTATTATAACATTCTTGCATAATATAACTGTGCAGTGTACAGAAGGAAGGCATAAAATACATTTCCATTACCAAACTGTACAAAATCGAATTTAACTATAAACGAGTTACCCATATAAATCCTCTCATTTGTAATAGGTACATATAAAAAAGTATAAAATTATGTTTGATATATTATGATGATGTATACGTTAATATAATATAGTACTGTATTAATTAAGCAACACGTAATATTAATTGTAATTACATATCAGATTATACTGTTACATATTTATACCTACTGAAAGTTACCACGTTGAATATTGATGTATGAATTAACGGAATAACCCATTATGAAATAGGTACTTATTTAAATCTAACAAGTAAAAAAATTGTTTGTTATTTAATAAAAATATTTTAATCTACGTCGCACGTAAAAATTAATGTTGTTATTGTATTACATGATTCAAATAACTATAGACAATACATATAATATAATAATAATAATCATGTTTTAAGAGAAATTTAGGTTCAACTATACATTGTGATTCTTTTAACAGTAAACACTAATTTCATACAATTACCTATACAATTACCTACAAAGGAGAAATATTCCAGTTTTTCCTTAAACGGGGTTTTCCGATTATTTTGACATGTAGGAAAATAGGTACTAGAAATTATCACTTTTGACCTTTCAAATTACAAGATACAATTTTCTACCAGAAATCACCCTCAGGAAGTTGAAGATTGAAGCATTTTTCTACTATAAAACGTGTACACAGAAATAAAGCACACATCATTGTGAAATCTATATAAATATCTCTAAGATTAGATTCTCAGAACCTTATATAACCAACTCAATTTTCAAAACAATATTTAAGAAATATATTTTTTAAAATTGGTTTTGTTTTTATCATTTTGAATGACAGTACACATTTTTAATTTTATACTATTTTATACTGATTGAATATTTTTTTTGAAAATTTTGAGCTTCAACTATTACGGCTGTTTATTCGTGAAATACAGTCAGTGGCATCCTTATCAGTTTACGTTTTTTTCGTCCATCTTGTTTCACATAGTAGTCCGATTCTAATGGTGTCAAAATTATTACTATGGCCCTAATGCACTATGAGATATGGTAAATACTAAATTATATACACTAGTTCGTCATCTAGTTGCATGGACAGCACCTTTACTAATTTGCTTCTTCTGAACAGACAGCCGATTAGTTACTCAATTATAAATATTTAATTTTTACATCAGTGGACTAGTAATGAAGAAGAAGACGATCATTTTGCGTAGGTACCACAGTCCACAGCTGCCGCAACTGTCCATGCTTACAAATAATGAACTAGGTACTATCATTCGAAATTAAAATTTCATATATTAAAACCCTCAAAAAAAAAATGTAAGTTGTCATTCAGAAAGGTTAAAAATAGTGAAAATTATATATTTTTTCTAAAATATTGTTTTTTCAAGAATTCAAATCATATAAAAATAAAAATTTTCTAAAACGTTCATATTTATTGAGATAATGCGAGTGTTGACTTTTATATAATCACCCAGTATATCTAAAACAATACTAATACTAAATGCTTCGTTATCTAAAACTGAATCCAGACAGGATACGGCAATAGGCGGAAACCATGGAGGCGGGGGGGCTATGCCCCCAAATATTCCAATAGGATCAAAGCCCCCTCTACTCACATTGATGTTAATAATGTTAGCCCCCCCCACCAAGAAATTGTAATGGATTTCCGCCTATGGATATAGCTACTGAATGTTAAACGTGCAAGGATGGTGATGTATTATGATTTATGATATTAAATTTAAAAGTAATGATTAAAATTAAACATTACCTACATTCGAAAACAATCTTTGACTGGAGCTCGCATAAAATCTAAAATCCTGATAAAATATTTTTGAAGGTTTTTGGTAGTTTTTCTTACGCTTGAATAAATTATTGAAAAAATTGAAAAATTACAACTTCTGAGAAATTCCTATAGGTTCACTTGATTTGGCTATTCCAAATCATATAGATACATAGCCAAACAAATGTCTCTCTTCACAAAAAACTAAAAACTTTTCACTACATTTTTTTTTTAACATAAGTTTGAAGCATTAATATTTAACATTTAAACTTTACATTCAAGTACCTAGGTAATAAAAGTTCAGATACTGGAAGATGGTGTATTACTAGAGCTGATAATGTATTTATGTATTTGGAAGCAGTTATAAATAAATGCTATATTGGACACAAATTACAATTTTAAGAGATGCTGTACGCGTGTTTTAACAAACCCAAAAAGCGTTTTCTAAAGACTCCTTAAAATAAAAGTATATTAAATCATCGAGACTTTATTATTTTTCCGATCTGAAACTGAATAAAGACTTTGAACGGTATTCGTGAGATAAAAATTATGATTTTTTATTTTCAATTCGTTATCAAAATAAGGAAGTATAGATTTAGAAGTTATTTAAATCACTTAAACTTATCATTACCTATATAATAAAATACCAAAAACCATCCATTCACACCTGACACAATTGTCTTAATATGATATTATGGAGTGGTAAAGTAATTTAATAACTCAGATAATTAGACTTTAATTTTTAACATAGTTATGTTTTTTGGCTGGGTACAACTTATTTTTCTAACGGATTTTCGAGAAGCCGATTTTCGTTACGCTTTGTTTATTGCAAATCGCAAAACATCAATAACAAAAAAAAAGTTTAACTGAATTCCTAACAAAATGTAGCATACTAGTAGGTATCTTTCTTCTGCACTAACACCCAAAACATATCTCTGATTCCTTAATTATCCTTACAAATGAAAAATCTTTACTGCGGATGCTGTTTTTAATGTAGGATTTTATTCATAATCGGTACCTAGAGGTAACACCACCGTTTAACAAATTGTTAAAACTACTTAAGAGAGGTGTCCCAGTTTAACGAAAATTGTTAAATGACAGTTTTTGTAATTGAATAAAAGATATTTCCCACTAATAGAAAGGAACGAATGGCGCTGATGTATTTCGTTTGTATTCAATTGGAAATCGATCACTTGACGAGTAGGTAGTAAAGTGATATACATCATGTTTGAACATAATTTTTTACTGCATAATATAAGTTATGTCATTATAACAATATTATTATTATTCAGTCAAAGAAAACAATTGCTAAAGTAATAATAATAATTGTATACGAAAAAAATATTTAATGTTCTATGTTTTGCTGATATTAATAAAACTCGATCCTAAATAAATAATGATAAATTGTAATAAATTGTTAATTGTGTTAATTTATTTGATCTAAACAAATAATTATACAAACCAAATATTAAAGTTGTTTGATGATTTATTATCAAATAAATCAACACATCATCCTAAAAGAAAACCTAGTATACTATATACTGTATTCCTTATAAGTTTGTCTAATTTTATCAAAAAAAAAAATGTCCTTAAGAAAGTCAAACTAACTTTTATGAGCGCATGAAATTCAAATGTTTACAACATTGGATATTTACTCGATTTCTCATGTAGTGATTTTCTTATTTTGTTGTAATTCAAAAACGAATAACTGTAGATACATGAAAATTTCACTGAATATTTATTTAATCGATTCTTATACGTGATAAAATTTTCAAAATATTTTGACTTGTTTTGAGCTGTTTAAGGACAATTTCATATTTAAATTTTTTTTCCTATGAATATCAATAAAGTTTTATAAATTTGAAAAAGATTAAAAATACATGGACACAATTTTTTTTTATAAGCATTGAATTTTGACAAAATTTAAATTTAAAATTCAATAATTATTTTGTTGTTAAAAATGTATAAAATGTTCAACTTTTATATCTAAGGATTGAAAGTTTAAAACAAGATTCCACATAAGTAGTTAATTCTGTTACCAAAAAATCTAAAAAAAATACATAAGCACAGTTTATTTTTATAGTCATTTTAAGTTCAAATTTGGACGAAATTACATAATATTAAAAAACCTAGAATAACTTTTTTAGTTATTTTGTGGTGATTGTATAATATTATTCGTTGGTACTTGAAACTTCTAAAGTATACTACTATTATGTATCTATGATAGTATCACAGATTGTTATTGATGTATAATGAGTTATAAGTACCTAATAGATATTGTGATATGATTAATTTGGAATTTATTTTAGCTACCTATTATAGGTACATTTTTTTTTAATACCATAGATATGTGTATTATAATATGTCTTATACCTAGACTGACATACCGTCTCCGTTCAGAATCGTTTTTCTTATACAATGATATTATATCATTAAATTCAAATTTAATACCATCCATTATACAGTGACCCTGCACTTGTAGACTTTTAGACTTAGATCGTAGGTGTTTAAGTGTTCTAGAAATTATATTTAGGCTGTTTAATATAAAAATAATTTTCCATCAAACCAACTTCGAAATAAATCAGACAACGTTAGTACTTTTAAAAGAATACCTTGGATTTATGAAAAAAAATTGATCAACCTCATCAAAAATATTTTTTGAAAATAATTCAAGAACATATTTAAAATTAATAAAGATTTTATATTAAAATATTATAATTATATTGAAAATATGGTATAAAATGCTAAATCTGTTATGATTTATTTAATAATGACATATAAATGACATGAATTTATCCATTCATTTATATGTAGACGAACGTCTAAATCTAAAACATATAACAGTAAAATTTGGTATTTAGAATGGTTACCTTAATATCGTTAATATTCGTTATATGCTTTGAATACAATTTGTAACACTTTATTTGAATTTACCTTTAGTGAAATGCAAATTCATTAGAATCGCTGCAGTTCTGATCGTAATGGTTATTTTTTTAACTCTCCCTTACCTTTGGAATTTTAATATTTTACACAACATATAAACACTTTAGCATACCTCGTAATTATTAATAAAATCACGAACTACTTTTACGGTTTTACGTGTCTTAATAAGGTAACGTTTCAATCACAATATTTTGTACACCTTAAAAATTGTATAGTTGCGTTTCAACTTTCAAAGGTGAAAAATATTATAATATAACATACGATTTCTCGGTAGTATATTTAATTTTGATACGTCAAACCTTGTACGAAATTTGATGTATTTTTTGTGGAGTATAAATTGTTTAGAACGTGTATATGTATATTGTTTTATCAAAAAAATCATACTTTCTGTATTATCGATCATGTGATTATTATATGTATTGACAAAATATAATATATTATTTTTTGTTTTTTTTTTTTCATTATAAAGTTTTCCTGATTAAGTCATCCACCTAACTTATTATTACAGTATTTATTTTTTTTTTCAATTGAACAATTGATAATATATAACATTATTTACAAAAATTTGCATGGGTACCTACATAGAATATAATACCCAATATAATTAAACTAAATTATTACGTTATGATAATGCAAATCTTAGTTGTTGAACACGTTTATCTCTAAAGACGTTAGTCTCTAAAAATCAGGGTCGTACTTTGCCAAAACTTTGCTTCAGAATATGGTAGTGACTGAGCCTACCACCGAGCCTCACCAGGCCCCCAATAAATGTGTAAAATGTGTTCATTGTTTATATATTTTGATAGTAAAATGTTTATGCATTTAACGCTGAAAAACTACTTTAAAAAATTTAAAATCAATTTACCTGGTTTTCTTTGAAAATATTATGTTGCATTACACTGCATTCACTCTAATGGAGTGAGTATTCTAATATAAGAATTTTATTTATGATGATTTTTGATAGATTTTTAATAAATAATTTAATTTCAATTTAGAAAAAAAAATATAGAAATACACTTTAAAAATTAAGAAAGGAATATTTTTATTATATTATCTAATGCTAACTACGACTGATATCAACACTAAACTATATTTCACAGTTTAAAAATTATAATAATAATATTCTATCAGCTTATAAGGCCTAATTAGTCTACAATCCAACTAATAATTTTATAGATTACATTATATAAATATATATGAAAATAATTGATGTTTGGTTATATCACTATATGGCCTCCCTCCTCATGTAATCATTGTTGTGTATTCTTTTCTTTTTCTAATTTGCTTATTATGCCTTGTAGCATAATTAGAAAATATTCTTTTTAATAATAAATGTATATAAAATATAAATATATGGGTACCGATTCTATCAAATCATTTTAATGTTTATTTACTATAATAAAATAATTTCATGTTTTAAATATTGGAAGTTTAGTTAAATAATACTATAATGTTTACATTTAGAGACTAAGATTAACGATACTGCAGTGTTATGGTATATAAAATATTTGTTTTTATTATAATGTTGATGTCAAGTTAAGCATTTTCAAAATATTCAATACTTACGACTTTGTCATAATATATAAGTAGTAGTTGTTTCAAAAATATCTGACTCGTCAATTTATACTTTATGTTACCTATATGAAATAGTAACCATGCTTTGATCTAAATAATGATTATAATGGTTATATAATATTATTATTTTATATTTTATTTAGCTGGAAAATAATTTATTATGACCATTAAAAAATAGATGCCGTATTGACGATACTTTCATAATATCAAACGATTTAGCAAGTAACATATTTTCCATAATTTTTAATTTTATTATGTTTATTAAAAAGTAATAATATTATCAATTATGCGCTTACTTACAGTATTTTATTTAAATAAACATGGGAAATATAAAAATGTAATTTTTCATAGCATCTTTTAAATTAATAAAACTTAGTATTGACAGGTTACGCATAATTTTTTTCATGGACAGACAGTTTTAAATATACTTTAGATTTGAAGTGGAATAAATTTGAAGCAAATAAAATACTCCCCTTAATCTGCATAAAATTATACGACACACAATCAATAATATGAATAGCAAATGATTTGAATGTATTATGTTAGCACTTAGCTAACAGTAGTAGCAGTAGGTAAAGTCATTTAAAAACCTGAAGTGATCGTACAAATGTTGTTATTCATTGAATTCATCGAATTACCAATGGCCGTCTGTTAGTACTAAGAATTTATTGATAATATAACGAAGCTATATATATTTAAAAATGTACTTATAATGTTATTATTATATAAATAACATGCATTGTATTCATCAATGTAAGAAAATTTAATTTGTTTTTATTATATCTTGTTATGCACAAAGTGTGTAGTAATAATGTAATTTACAATTAATGCTTAATATTAAATTAAATTTCAAAAAAATGATTGGACTAAGTGCAATTGTTTTTTGTTGTTGTACTATATCTAATATCTATAGAAGCCATCCCAACATAATTTGTTTTATTATAAACAGTGAGTCATAGTTAATTTTTAAAGGTCACATACCTACGTAAAATAAGTTAGTTAAATTATTTTCTTTATATTATAAGGAATATGCCGCTATAATGCTGTCTCGATAACCGTTTATTTTAAATAGACTTTGTTCCGTTGTAAAATAAATAATAACTATAATAATTAGGTAGGTAGGTACTTATAATATTATTATAAATGTTAATCGAAAACAGATTCTATCTACTTGAATTCGTATAAATTAGCAGGTGAGTAATTACATAGATTGATTATGGATAGAAAAAAAGAGAAGATGTTGGGAATATTACGCCATAAAACGAAGATTTATACAGTAATAACGATTTATTATCTACTGATTATAAAATACCTATACTGTTTATTGTTGAATTATTATGTAATATATTATGAACGTTAATTACAACCAGGATATGTTGACAAAAAATGTGGACGATACTATAGATAGTACAACAATTCTTACCAAACACTGGGAAAACATATTGTTCAAATACCATGACACAGAGTTGCATAGTCAAATTTCGGCAAGTCATATACTACGTATTCTTACTCATAAGAGTGATTTGTAACTAGATAGTAAATTAAGTAAAAAAAACTAATCTGTGAATGCATTTTTTCACCCGAAAAACATTAAAAACAATCTTACATATTATTATTTAAGCTATCGTTGTTTGCCACTCTATACAATTGTATTTTATAATAATAACTAACTAGCATTGAAACGAAATACTTAACGTTTTAATATTAATTCTAGTTTTACACTTTTTAGTCATTCCAAGGATCTCTAACTTTACAAATGGAATTTAAAGATAAAATAATAGAAAAATTACAAAACGAGTTGGACGAATGCATAAAGTATCGTCGTAGAACTGGTCAAAGAAATTTGGAATTGGTCAGTGCTACATTAGGTAATTTAATCTACATCAGCTATACAATAACATTTAATAGAAGTGTCTGTCTGTGTGTCCATGCTATTATTCATCGAAAGGGCTACTTAATTTCAACGGGATTTTTACAGACAGGTTAAGGACCTAGAATGTATAGTGAACTAGGCTTCTTTCTACCTCTTTTTAACTTCCTAACCGTGGTGGTACACACGTGAGTTTTGTACTTGAAATATGAAAATTAATTTTTTTATATTTTTGACGCCAGTGATTACTCATAAATAGCATAAAAAAACAGTTATAGTTCTTACATCTTATAATTTAATTTGGTTGTTTTTGGTAAGAAAGTGTCCTTTTAAAACCTAATTCTGTTCGTCTGAATTATTTTTTTCCCGAGCTAAGTCAGGTAATAGTCGTAATACAGCTAGCCACCTAGCTATGAATACCTATAAATCTGGAAAATATTAGCTGAACTCTTATTTAATTCTAATAAAATAATAAGTAATAATTGTTTAGAAACCAAAGCATAAAACCATTTTTTGTTACTGATATAATGATGAAGACATCGTAAGGATAAATATTATGGTTAGAATGAAAAGGGAGGAATTAATGTTAAACTGTGAGAGAACCTCATCGAAAGCGGAATACTAAAATATGTGTCCAAAATCACAAATATAATCTTTGAAGTGACTATGGCGTTAAAAATTAAAACGTTAAATAGCGATTTTCCTCAAATGATTTTAGTTATTTTGTTGTGATTAAACAATACCAAACGCTTTAAACGTTCCACAATTACTTACATGTTTATACACAGTGAAATTTGTCACTATTGACTTATGTTATATTATGCGATGTTTTTGGAAAAAAAATGTGATGCAATCTACTGAATCGAGAAAATAATAATGTAACATAAACTCTCCTTAGAAATAAATGCTGATCTTTGTAGCTTATAACTGGTTTTTGTATATGTATTATGTATACAATATTGAATGCAGCACAACTAAAAATGAATATTCAATAAATAAACCCAAACAAATTAGACGATTTCCTGAGGATCTTTTAGATGCTTGATTGACATTTATTGAAAAATATCATACGTTTAATTTGCTGTCGTGGTTTTACCTATCATGGTGATAAACAGCTTTATGTGGTGCGGTGGCATCCCGTTAACACATAATTTCTATGTAAATATATACACATTACACAATAATGATATTATATTAATTGTTACATGAAAGTCGCATTTAAAAATGAAATTGAAGATATACATCACCAATATCAGGCTGAAATAGAATTAGCACTACCTGTAGATTTGGCAGAACTAGAGGTCAGGACAAACGAGAACGATACTTATTGGAAGATGCTAAAATATGATAGTAAAGTGGTACAACTTGAGATAGACAAGTGGAAATCTGACATAAAAAAAAAACACATTGAAAATATGGACATCGAACATGGAAGGGTAGGTACAATAAAAATGTATTTTACTACAATTTATACATTTTACACTGGAAATCTGATACCTATAACAAGTCAAAGTGAAAAATTATAAAATGGGTATTAAAATTAACTTTAAAAGCTTAAAAATTAATAGGTACTATTAGATTATACTATTATAGTGATAATGATGTTGTAATTATTAAAAATATGCCTTTGATAATAATTATTTAAGTAGTTAGGTATAAAAACATTATGAATTTATAAAATTGATCAACACAAGAAATTATGATACTATTGCGGTGACTTTAATAATAATATAAATAATATACGACTGTGACAACATAGATTTTTATTTGCAAAATTAATCAACGGGATAAAACATGCTACCGTAAATAAGGGTGACTTTGATAATACAAATGTTTAATTTTTTTTAATCTATGATAAAAGCTAAGCAGTTGTTGGTTAGTTTCAGTTTTTTAATTACGTTGAAGTTTTAAACCAATGATGTTAAGCTGTTGTATGTACCGTTACTGATGGTTATACAAATTAAACAATACTGATCATCATATATAGGTAGTTACAGTAACGGTAATTATTAATGATGAATAATATTATATTGTTGTATAAATAACTGTGTTATTTATTATATATATGTATATTATTATATTATCATAGGTAACATTATATTCATCGGTGATATAACTGTAAGTCTGTAACTATAGGCTACAATGTTCTATATATGGCGATATGGATGACGTATTATATAACTATTATATAACTATTTTGTGTTGTATAAAATATAGTATCATATTCAATAAAAATATAAAATAAACAAATACCTAGTATAAAAATAAAATAAACAATAAATATACGCTCTTATCAACACTTAATCATATAATATTATAGTCATCAAATGTACAACTTTAATAATTATTAAAAATTAGAACTCCGATGAGTACGATTACTGTCTGATGAAATCGCATTCAAAATTTGTATTATCTATGATATAGGAAATATAACAATTAATAAAAATCGTTATATTTCATTATTTAATGTTTTAAACAAATTCATTTTTTCATTGTATTTGTACTAATAAGTATCTACTAAGTATCATGCCTATAATGTCTAAAAAAAAAATGCAACTTTTTTTTAATTGTCGCAGTCATTACGCTCTATCCTTAAAGTTAATATTTTACCTTTTACTGTAGTTCGAATCAATTATGAATAAATTTTGTTGGAAAGACTACATAACGCATTATATGAATATGAAGGATGAATATTTTTCTACTTTGGATGATTATGCGAAAAAAACTCAAAATACAGCAACAGAATACTCGAAGTTCAAATCAACAAACGAACAATTATTAATTACAACAAAAAAATTGAAAATTCGAATTAAAGATTTATTAGTGAGTTGATACTACGGGGTTTACTGTAACTTAAATATTTTTAATGTGCTATTAATAATACAATTATGTATTAGAATAAAATAAGTACATTGGAAAAAGAAATGGGCAAACCTAAATTATTCAAGGAATTAAATATATTAATACAAAAAAGAGATGAAGTTCAAGAGGGTTTGAAACAATTCCGAAATAAGGTTGCAAATAATTCTAAACTCGGCCACAGACTAAAGTCACTTCTTTGCCAATCTACCAAACAATTAAATACAGTAAGAACCAATTTAATGAAGTCGCATTATAATTTTATTATTTATATACTTATACTATTAAATAATCGCCAGTGGCGTTTTCTCTGGGTGTGCAAGTTGTGTGTTAACGCCCTAAACATTGATGTCATACATGTGTGTAATATTGTAATTTGTAGTTCATATTAGTATATTACATGGTTATATAATTTTATTTACAAAATCTTAAAATAATTGTCATGTAAAAATAATAATATCAAATAATAAACTATTGTCTATTTTAAGCTCTAAACTCGACCATGCGCCCGCGCCGTCTGCACTCTGCAGCTACGACGCCGATTACGGAATAATATTGTATTATGTTGTGTTTGTGCAGGGTGTAGCCGTGTAGGACGTTAATAATTCGAACAACGACTTGTGGTATCTAATATCTCATATTCGTAATTTGTCGTGATATTTTCGGATAACTTCGGTGCCATGTTAATACTAGACCAAGTCGTTGAAAATGAAATTAACGACTAGTCACTACTCACTAGTCACTAGTCTAGCGCTAGCCTATACAGTATACACTGTGTTTGGAGTTTTGGACCGTTAGTGGGGATCGTAGCGGCTGCAGTGCTGCACGTTACCTGTTTACGTCGTAGCCCATAGGTACTATACTACAAGACTGCAACGCCGATCGTCGAAAACATAATATAAATAAATAATTTTAATAATATGTTGATTATTAATAGTTGATACGAATTTATTTCCCATAAGGGGGGTTTTCCTAATTGTTTTCCTCAATCTTAAAATCAATTTTCACAATTAAACATAGCATACAAATAACAATATCATTTTTATAAGTTTTTTTTATAGTAATAATAATAGTCGTTTGTGTGTATTATTGTTGAAAAACAAATAATTTATATTCTTAGACATGAATTATTGAAAATATGTGTCTGTCGTCTGTGTAATATGCATATTTTATAATGTTAATATAATTCATTAATTTTACCTTAAAATATAGATTTTAAACAATAAATTGAAGAGGCGTGAAGATATAATGAAATGTATCCACCTATATCAAGAATTGGAAACACCCGAAGACAAAGCTAATAAAATTCCAATATTTGATACACATGAAAATATTGAAGAGGTAATTCAAATTTATCTAATTAAACTGGATTTTATACAAAAAAGTTGTTTCGACATTTGTTAAGCTTACGAGTGTTATACAATGTATGAAATACCATATTTATAGCATTGGGCAATGGGCATACAAAACAAGATCTATGGAATGTATATTATGTAAATCATTGGTAGGTTTAGGTACTATTAATAAGCAACTATGTTTACAGTGCTACATTAAACTATTTTTTTATATAAACTGAACTGACCAAAGAATTGGTAGAAAATAATGTATATTTTTCAGAAAACTTAAAAAAAAGTAATATCAATCAATTTATGATTAATTATATTTCAAAAGTCAAAAATTTTAACAACATTTCTAGTTAACTTTTTTGTAACGATTGTTAATTAGGTATTTACTGAACTATATTAGACATTAGTTAGGCAAGTCCAATTGTATTTATCATTATTATTGTAGTCAAAAGTCTCTCAGTTTTTAATATTACATGAACGCTTTTAACAGTGATTATTTGTCAAGAACTTCAACTACATTTTCAGTCCAATAGCTTATATTCTCGTTTTTCACACGTCTTGATACTCTCTGATCGTGCAAAAAATCATTAGTTAGTCCATTATTTAATAATTAATAATTATATATGAATATGTAGTGTATTACATATTCCCCCCACCCCCTCATAACACCATTCATGCATTCATAATACTACCGGATTAATCAATAATTATTAATATTGAAAAATAAATATATAATACAGGTAAATACGTTTTTTATTTTCATTTGAATATTATAATAAAGATATATGCCTTTGAGACATAGCAAAATTATTTATTATTTAATTTAATATGAAATCGTAGTTATCAAAAATGAAATTGATCATTGTAAAAATATTTGACAGACTCTATTACAGTATTGCCCAGAACTTTGATACTCAGAGGTATAAATTAGTATTAAGAAGAAGTGAAGACACACCCGTGTGCTCTGTCTTCGTCTTACAAACGTATAGCATGGCCAAATTATACGTTCTGAATACATTGAACTGATGTATATATAAGAGTGAATTGACCTATTATCAAATTTAAAAGTAAGAATATTATCTAGTGAATAGTGAACCTCGTTGGTTTTTTTTTATATTTTAATTTTAAAGCAAGTTATATGAGTATTTTAAAATGCACAAACAATTTACAATTTTAAAATACTCATAGCTTGCTTTAAAATTAAAATATAAAAAAAAACCAACGAGGTTCCCTCCTAATTACTGGATAATATTCATACTTTGAAATTTGATAATAGGTTAATTCGCTCTTACATACCTGAGTTAAATGGATTATTTAGCACTTATAATTTGGTATGTGACGCGTTAAGACGAATACAGCGCATTCGGGTCTTCTTAATGATAAATGCAAACAAAGGACATGGACCAGTTACACTTAAAACACAATTTGTATATTTGTAGGGTCAGTATACCAAGGCTTATACCAGGCTATTTAGTATTTCTGGCTTATATTTAGATTTATGTATATTAAATCTATTATAAGTATACTAACCAGTAACTATTATTGAAGTCAATTGGATAACATTAAAAAATTTAAAATTGACGAACAAATTTGTTTCTCTAAATCTGAAAAAAGATATTTATTTATGTACTATGAATAATTTGTGCTAATACACTAAAAATATACTGCAATATACTCATGTAGATACATATACTTATATAGATATATTTAATGTTTAATAGATTATAAATGTATTACTGACGCTCATGTGTATTATATTCCAATAAAAATGATAATTTTTTTTGTTTACTTATATGGATAACTATATGACGATTAACGAGATTTGTATATGAACCAAGTGGTTCACGTCGACGACCACTTCGTGTTTTACCAATTAGGATAGTTATATAATCATAGTTGAATTTGAGTATGCATGTATACTAATATGAAATAAAATATTAATGTATTAATATTATATTTATATTAAAATATTTATACTAGCTGATCACTTCGTTGCTCGTTCGATGTACCAACTCTATATGATTCAAACTTTGTTCAATTCGTTATTTAATATTCCGATTCGGTGTATGGTGTTCAAAATGTATCTTAAGTTTTCCGTTGCCCAGAATAAAAATTCTGATTTGCAGCAGTATATTATCAGGTAGGCAATCAACCCCGTGCTGTATGCAGGGCCGTCCTTAGGGCAGGGCGAGCGGGGCCCTTGCCCCGGGCCCCGCGCTTTCGACATAGTTGGACAGGCCCCGCTTTTATAGACCCAATAATAAAGTCAAGTAAATGAGCAAAAAAAATTGTATCATTTACCTATATATTTTTAAACCTCCAACTGTTGTAATTTTTACTACCTAAACCTACTTATATTAATTGACGTCAAATAAATGTATCGCATTTTAAACGAGTTAATATGGTTAAAATTAAATTTTCAAAGTTGAAAATTATAAAAATAACTATCTTCGAAGCGCACTGTCTGAAAACTAGGCAACAAATTAGCTATAATATCTATAGAAAAAAATGCTGACTAACTAAAATGTATATTTATATTTAAATTTTTATTGACACATTTGATATTTTAAGACGTAGGAAGGTTAATTTATAATATATAAAATTCTCAGCAGAGCGAAAAATGTATTAATTTTATAATGATGTGTGTTTTTTTTCTGTTTTGGAAGCGACATTTTGTGTAGTAAAAGTGCTCCGATATTCGATATCAGCATCATATATACTGATAGAAAAGTGAAATTATTTGGTATTTTTGAGAATTAAAAATTAAAAATTTCAAGTATATTTACTTTTAAAAACAAAAAAGAGGTAACTTTTATACAAAACCAATTTTTGAAAAAGATTTTATTTTTTTGGTTAACTCAAAAATGAATGACTGTAGAACCTGGACATTTTCAACAAATAATTATATAAATATTTTCCTTAAAACATTTTTACAATATTTTGACTATTTTTGATAGAAAATAAATAACAATAATTGTTGTAAGTACAAGGTAATAAATTTTGAAGTATATTTGAGCGTTGCCAAACTTACCTAAGTATATAGGTATTAATGTATTATCATAATATTAAATATATGCCACTGCCAACAATGAGTAATGACATTTTAGGCCCCACAATTTTACTCTGCCCTGGGCCCCGCAAATCGTCAGGACGGCCCTGGCTGTATGTACTTAAGTGTATGATTTAACTCTAAAGTATCAATGTTATACCAAGTTTGTCGTATTCCACCTATGGTAGATTAGTGTAATCAATTAATACAAAATCCTAACCTAATCTAACCGTACCAATATCAGATGGATAAAAAAAACCAAATTTAACCATTTTTAAACCTGTATTCTTCCCAGAGGTCTAATATACACACAAACATTAATTTACATATATATATTGACAGAAATAATAATACAAATCAACAAACATGCCCGATTTACCAATAGCAACCAATTCATAATACACTGTTGTATTTTTTACATCCAGATTTTCTACTTCTCCGGTGGATTTTCCTAACATTTTCTTTTGTAAAAACCTTCTGTTGGCAATTACGTACATCTTAAAAACAATTTGAGCCAAATCGGACCAGCCGTTCTCGATTGATGAGGTATAACGATATTTTTACGCTCCATTTTTATATATATAGATTATTATGACATAGTAAGTAGGCATTTAGGTACATTTTCCATAGGATAAACTAAAAACAGTTACAGACGAATCAAACTAATTAGAAATGTATCATTTTTTGTAGCCTGATCATCAATCAACAAAACAAGGGATATTGTATAATATTCAATGCCGTGTATCATCTGTAAAGATCGAATGTAAAATGTTAGATTTGGAGAACGAAAAATTACAACATGAAAATAACGTATTAAAAGAAAAAATATGTGACTTTGTGAATCAATTAGAAATGAAAAACCCTAATAAATAATTCGTTTAAGATTATAATAAAATATAATGAACGTTAATAATTGTATTCTTTTGATTAAACATTTTATTTATTTTAATATCAATAAGCATTTTAAAATGTGTACGAATAAGTGCAACAAAATATGCAAAACACGGCAATACCAAGTAAAAAAAAAGAAAATATAGTATCCCATTGATGACGAACAGGTGAAAATCATTGCAATGTTTAGTTGTGGTTCAAAACGAAGTCTATCAGCCGCATTCTCTGTTATTAATTCTAATTATATTGGTTATATTATACTAACCTAAAACTGGTGATGAAAGTGAGCGAAACTTTCGAGCTCAGAAAAGATAACAAGCACTCGAAAACCGATGGAAAATTATTATCATTAACATCTTCACCTATAACTGCGGAAAGAAGTTTCACTTCCCACGCGCGTACTCGTGACACACATACTTAATTGAAATCCAAGGTTTACTTGTAATACGATAAGTACCTACATTTGATGTATAAATGTATAATATAAAATCTATTAAAGTTATAAAGATTTATTTCAGGTAAGAATAAGAGAAAGTCACCCATTGTTAGAATATTGGAACCTACCTAGTGAATGAGTTAGGTACTTATATTGTATTAAATATTTCTGATAAATGTATTTCGATAAAGAATTTAAATATTTCATATACGTTATAATTTATGTAATTAACCAAATAGTTGATTTATTGTCAACGATGTTTTACTTTGTTATCAAAGAGCACGGATAGTAAATATGTATTCATTTTTGATACAAATATATTTTTAAATTTTTATATAGAATAAAATCAAAATTATGCATTCAATAAATTATTATAGATTTATAGCTACCAAAATTAACTAGCTTCATAATTTGTTGCATATTTAAATGTACAACACACAAATGTATGAAAAAAAAAATAACCTGAATTAGTTAAATAAAGCCAACATTAATTTATACCCAAGTTATAAAGTTAATAGTTAACAAAAATATATTTAACTATTTATAAGTTAATAGTTAAAGTTAATATGGACACAAATATTAATTTAACACAGTCAAAAACAAGTTAATTATTAATTTTTGTATTTACTTCTTTGGTTACGCATATTAGTTTTGCAACTTAAAATGTTTTCATAATAACTAAACATTTTTAAAGGCGTCCTACAGACCTACAGTATATTGCTTCTTACTGCAAACTAGCTATAGCGGTTTAAGCCATTACAAGGTTGTGTCATCTACTTTATTAAAGTTAGTAATATTTTTTTGTTTATTAAGATGTTTTTGGGCTGATTAAAAACTTTTTTTCTGACCGATTTCTCAGAAGGTAGATATTTGTAAGGCTTATACAATTTATTATTGATACCATGGTAACCCTCCTTAGCCCCAATAAAAAAAACATAATATCTAGATTCATATATTTTCATTGCAGTGAAAAAATACCAAGTACCGTGCTACGTTATTATTTTTTATTTAAAATCATTGCAGTTTACACAGTAATTAAACAAACTAAATATTGATTGATTGTAATGATATAATTCATATTTCATATAATATGTTATATATAATATATAACATATTATATGAAATTCAGAAATTGTGTATACCTGAATATGATAACTCAACATAATATGATTTTTCAGATTATTGGTTAAAGCTTAAGTAATCACGTATTACAGATACCTATGTTGTTAGTTTAGTTATTAAGTTAGATAATTAGTAAAGTAACTAACTAGTAGTAAGTTAAAAAGAAAAAACTACTTTTTAACTTAGTTTTAACTAAAGTAAGTTAATGTCCACTTTTGGACCATTATACGTAAACATTTAAAACTAAAACCGACCTCGAGATTCCACGCCATAATAATATTATGTTTAATATACACAAATACAATGTATTAATACAGGCAAGTGCTATATTTTATCATAATATTTAATTTGCAATACGCTGTGCAGGGAATTTAAAGGCAAAGTCCTCGACTCATGTTATGACTATTAAAAATTAGTTTGGTACCTATTGCCATTACCATTGAAACCAAGTGTCAAAGTTCAACTTAATGAAGTAGATCTCTATTTATTTACTGTATAAAAGCCACTCCAAATTACAAAATAAATATTGTGATTTAGTTTATAATCCTTTACGGATACGGGCATAACAAATTTATAGATACTTGACAAAAGCAGACACGGAGTCGCTCGCGGACCTTCGAGATTCAATAATTATATATTTATTATAATTTGCGCTGTCGTAATATTTTTGACATTCATCGACGTGCTGTATGAATGGATTTATTCTATTAATAGCCTAAACACAGATGCATAGAAACTTACTGTTATAGTATTTTTATTTTATGTACCGGTACATAATAACGGGTTCTTCTCATCGATTAAATACACCGATAGAGCCAGCAACTATAAAATATATACCTACTATAACTTCATTGTCAATGTATGATTTAAAATCTGATCTCTTTGTGTTTCATACAATATATTGTAATGATGTGTATTATTATTTTATCACTGCAATAGTTGCTAGATATACAAATTGGTGTTTGACGTTGTGCATACAGTTAAAATGTTGTTTGAAACGTGCAACGGATTCAGTGGGTTGATAAGAAACATTTTTTTCATGGCTGAAAGCCATAATAAAGGTTAATATCGTGGTTTATATGGTGACGGACGATTCATTGAGTCAGAACACATTTTATTTTTACAAACACATTATATTATAATATGTATTCTATTTATGAATAGGTATAATATTAAGTTAGATTCTGATTGGAGCGATGGATGCGTATTATTATTATATATTGTGGTTTAGAATGATGAGTTATTTTTTTGTACCAGAGCCACATTTTACAGCGTAATATATTTATACCAGGTTGCATGAAACATTAATGGTTCAATAACATTTAATGGACCAATATGGGCCACTAAATCATGTTTAAGCGACCCTTAGCTCAATAGGTATTGATTCAATAATTAATGTTTAATGATTGTTCATGCAACCCGGCATATATGCCGCAATAGTAAAAACATTGAATGTTATAATATAACTAACTAATTTATTCAATTTTTTCATCAAAAGTTAGTCTAAAATACCATATGACTAAAATAGAAAATAAATTATATTTAAAGTAAAATTTTGTATATAATACATTTTAAAATATCTTTAGAAATAGAGGCTGCCTCCTCTTATAGTATTATTTATCGTAAATCGTAAATGTAATGATTTATCATTATATTCTAATTTATCACATGCATTATAGCTTCACCTAGGTGATACTGTTATATAGTGTTATAGTTGTTATGATAAATACCTAATGATGAGGTACACTCGAAACTTGTATTTCCAGCGTCTTCCCCAGTTTAATTACCCATGATTTATTAGTATCTTACAACGTATACGTTTTATTTAAATTGCTTAAACAAGTCACATCATTAGTTTATAAAACGTACTGTATATTTAATTTATTAATAATAATTTTCTATACTTTGCAGACCTATAAGTAATTGGGAATACAACGTTTTTATCAGATATTTAAAAATATAAAATTATAAGCTGAGAATTTATTACAACTTACAAGGATGGGAAATTACTGAACGATTAAATGAATCAGAGGTTTACGGAAACAAAGAATTATTTCTTACATAACATCCTTTGAGTTACCTATACAGTTTAAATTCGCCTAGGAATAATTAGTAATAATAATAATACAATGCATGTACTGCATTTAATTAATATGTGTTTAAAATATTTAAGTAGTATTTTAGTATTTTTTATCTCAATAGTTTTGACAGTTAGACCTTTAAACTATAAATTGTAGATTGACTGGTGGTTGTAAAAAAATTCAAACATTTGTGAAAAAGTGCTTCAGCTTCTAAATTATACTTACATAATATTATATTGTAATTTTAACATGTAATTCATACATTTCCCGATAATTTACGAATAAATCACGTAAAACTGTAAGGCACCTGATATGTAAAATTAACAGTTGACACTGATGTCATAGATAAATAAGTAGGTACTAATAAAGTCACACGATAATAATAATATGACATTACTTTACCATATTATACAATCTTTCTTTATCTACAAAATATGAAATGTCTCTGCTTCTTTAAGAAATCAGCATATTGCAGTGTTCATTTATATTCTATAATACATATCCAAAATCGACAAACGTTTACTATAGGTGTTTAAGAGATGATGAAATAGTATATATTTATTTATGTTAAATGTGATTAAAAGTCCAGAACATATGGTGCAACCCGTAAAAAATAAAATTAATTCTTACCTTAAATATTCGTACGGAAATTGATTATGTTTCAAAATCTTGATAAAACGACAGGCGTAAATAAATTTGTTAATAATAAATGCAATTCTTTTTTACGACGGAATACTTAGCACCACTATAATAATGTTATGGTTACGTTACGATTCACGAGTAAAATGCGCCACCTTGGACTCGATCAGGTCATCATCATAACGATAATAATAAGTACTCCTTCGAGCAAAGTTTCATACACAATTAAAGCACCATCCGGGTTGCATTATTTATTTTACATTTAATTTTAATCATTATAGTTTTATAGATTCCCTCTCTGCTCGCACTTGTACGTAGGTACTGTTATACTTAATTCTATACGACAACTACTAAATTATCATAATAAAGAAGAACTGAATAAAACCGGCTTAAAAACTATAAGTAAACAGACGTGTTACAACTTTACCTAATTTATTGTTAAATATTTGTTTATTCAAGGTGAAAATAAATCATTCCGGCCAATGTGGAAACGGAATCTATTGAAATCACGTGTACGACAAAATCAAAGGTTCCAGAGATTTCGTGGAGTAACTCGACGACGGATCTTCCTCTACCGACTGCCGTTACACGAACATGACTTTCGCGGTACGTCTCATATCGTACACAATTATTGCAGAACTGCGTGTTCAGTTGAACGACCTTCATCAGTTCAACCTGTTTCCATTAGCCTACTCCCCACTTTG